GATTTATATATATATATAAATTATACTGTAAAACTTTAATATCATAATTTTAATATATGTAATTGTGATCCTTCTTCGAATCCTATTATAACACATGATGTTTTGCGCATAATACCTTCTTTTTTTTTTTACTTTGGCAGGTTATGAAATTTCTGTTACTCTTGATAGAGTGGAAAATGTTGTCTTTAAGGAGACAATCTAAAATCCAAAAACAACTTGAGGAGATCAAATCATCTCTAAATTATTGAAAAAAATCTAGCTAGTACATACATATGTATATGCCTTTGTTGTATATAAATAATATAACTAAAAAGGTTAGAGAAAAGCAAAAAAAAAAACCAAGAAATAGAAAAAAGTATATATGTATTTATCTAAGAGCAGCTTAAATCTCATGTATATACTCTTTATTAGATTTTATAAAATGTCATATTTTTTATGTAAGAAAAAGTGAAGTCTTTTCATTTTTTTTAATCCCCAAGGATAGATCATACACATATCTTGCCCGTCCCGTTCTCTCACTAACTTGAATAGCTTATTTTCCTTCTCAACTCAAGGTGATCTAAATATCATGTCTACGACCCTCACCTCCCCGGAAAGCGCCTTCGTTCCGACTTCTCGACCAAAGGTGGTCTAGCTCAACCTCCAAGTAGGAATAGATTCTATGAGTCGTGATCCAGTTAAGATAGGGGGCATTTCTAGCATTGAAAATCCCTATTCTTATTGAATAGTTCAAATCATTTAGACTAGACGAGCTAATTAGTAATTATGTAAAATAAAAAGAAAAATAGCATGAACAAGGAAAAAAACGAAAAATATCACACATTATTTTTTATTTATGTTCGTAGCTTTATTTATCGAAAAAGAAATATAGATTGATAATTAACCAAAGAAACGCGATGAAATTTAGATGACATGATCTCTCTCATCAACAATTCAAATCCCATAGAGAAATTTGCAACTTCATGATTTAGAACATCTTGTGATGAAGTTTCATTTTGATGAGTATTTCAAGTTCTTATTAGTTGTTGCATCATAATTCAACTCTTTAATATTTGTTCATGATGTCTTGTTGGATAGTGATTTTCCGTTTCTTCTTGTGGCTTTTTTTGTTTCTCCAATCAAGCTAGAGATGTTGTCATAGGCACTTTCTTGGTTATTTTGTTATCACTTTTAACTTTACCATAAGAGCAACTTGACTCATGTTCAATTCTTAAATTCTTGTCCACAAATCCCAAGCCTAATTCACTTTGTGGACAGTTCATGTTTTGGGATGCATACACTACATCCTCCATATTAAGATCATGATCAAAGATAATGGACTTCCTCTTGTCATCTTTTGTCAACATTTTGGGGACAAAAGTAAAATCTAATTGATCTTCATTATCCTTATTTACTTCTCCTTTGGATGTTGAAATCTTGAGAGACCTAGTCAACTTGAGAAGGGCTTCTTCTTGGTTAACAACTTTAGACCAAGTTGATGTTTCTTTGGCTGTCATCTTGTTTTGTAAGTTCTTGGATTGATTCACCAATCTCCTCATCCTCCCTAAATCAGGACACATGTGTTTGATAATTGCAGCTAAAACACTTACTTTCCATGCCTTCTTCAAACCATGGGGCTTCCTATAAGGTGGTGGACCTTGTTCTTGGGACAACCCTTGATCACCACACCAAAGTTCATTCCCTATCACATCACGTCAACAGACAGATGATTCAGAATTTAAACTTTATGAGTCTAATTAATGTTACTAATTTTCCAAAATCATGAGTTATTCAAAACTAATATTTATATAATACTTCTTTATTCCAATTTAATCTTTACTTTGTCTCTATATTTAAAAATAATTTCAACTTTAAATTTTCTATTTTACCTTTAATGAGATGATTTATAACTATAAAATCTGTAGTTATTTTAGATCACAAGTTCCGAAAGCCTTTATTTCATTCTTAAGCTTTGCGCTCTATCAAAGTGTATCATATAAATTGAGATAGAAGACCGAGGAACTAACACTTTTTCAAGAAATTTGACGTATCTAAATACTCTCACTATATCAATTTGTGTATCTTGTTTCCTTTTTAATTTTCCGAAAATATGTCACTTGCTACATTTAATATCTCTTTAATTAACTTTGGCATCGCCTACATGTTTAAGACCATGAGATTCAATGTCATTTTTTATTCGTTACACATATTTTAATTAATTTAAGAGCACAAGAATGAAAAGATTTCTTTGTACTAAGTTAAACTAAGACATATAAATTGAGACGGAAATAGATTGATGGTATAGCTACCTGTTGGCCACCAAGGTGGGGCTAAACCTCTATCCAAAGGGAACCTCCTTTGTGGAGGGATACAATGTTGCATTAGAGCTGAAAGTATTGAGCTTAAAGTAGTGTCTTGCAATTCTTCAAGAAGACACATAAATGAGGCATTAGGATCCAACATGTTCTCCTCCTCTACTAATTTGGGCAAGGATTTAGCAATGGCAATAGGAGCATTTTGGTCAAATCTTACTTTCTCCATCCACCATTGTTGTAAACTATCTGAACAGCCACTCACCAACTTCCCCTTCTCTGATACAATCCCATACACAAAGCCTTGACCCTTGCAAACCTCCATGATTTTTACCTGTTGATCAAACAAGAAGAGGCTTTGAATGGCTATGTGTGTATTAATGGTAAGTTGGAGTGTTCAACTGACATCCTAGATATAAATTAGGATGTACGTTTTGATGTACGTATTTAAAGTTGGAGTATTTACTTGTCAGTTAAGCCAAGTTCGAATATCTATATATGTATTACGTTATAAGTTGAAGTGTTTAACTGAAATCATGAAAATAAGCTAAGGTATACGTCTAAATGTGCATATTCAAAGTTGGAGTGTTTACTTCCCAACTGAGGCAAACTTTGGATATATATACATACATACATACATACATAC